CCAGGGATCGTACAGATGGATAGACTCGCTGCCGCGCCTCTTGTCGAATTACAATCGTCGCAGACACAGAACGATCCGAATGCGTCCGGCGGACGTGACGCCCACTGTCGCCGAAAAATTGCTGCGCACGGTGTACGGTCGCGCGAAGATAGCCGCGCCGGCGAAATTTCGAGTCGGCGATCCGGTGCGCGTGAGCAAATTCAAAACGATCTTCGAAAAAGGCTACACTCCCAATTGGACCACCGAGGTCTTTTGCATAGCCAAAGTACAAAGGACCAATCCCGTTACGTATCTGCTGAAAGACGTTCGCGAAGAAGCGATAGCCGGAGGATTCTACGAACACGAGTTGCTGCGCGTCTCCAATCCCGACGTTTATCTCGTGGAAAAAGTTCTGCGCAAGCGCGGCAATCGAGCGTTCGTGAAGTGGTTGGGAATGGACAGTTCGCACAATTCGTGGATAGATAAGGCGTCTGTGTTGTAAAAAGAAATACTTAGACATTAGTAGACATTAGTAGACAACGCTTACTTTATTGTTAATAAAGGTTTACACATTCGTCGATTTGTTTCTTACGTGTTATTCATTTTTTACGATAAAACAATTTTTAAAGCGTACAATATTGTTTTACCCCCTTTTTTTTACAACGGTATTTTGTAATGTCCCCACGGAAGCGTCTCCTCGCCGTTCGACGTCACGTATCGCTTGTCGTCGTGCGGACTGAGGACTAGTTTTTGCTCCGACACGGTGTTAACCTCGTGCAGCGTCGAACGTATGCACGACTGACGCGTTTTCAGCTCGCGCGCGTTCCGCAGACACTCCACGTAATCCTCGAACGTGATCTTCTTCGCGACTACGTTTCTCTTGACGCCCTTTATTCTTCTGGTGTCGTCGCGTCCGAGTACCTTGTAAGTGTACATCTTCGCTCTGAGGCCCACGAACTCCGTCATGATCGCGCCGTTGTTCTCGTCCTTCATCAAACCTGGCACCTTCCTGTTAACGCGCGGCATACCGTGCGCGTTGTTCTCCGCGTAATCGCTCGTGTCGAACCTGTGCACGTCGCGTTTCATACGCTCGTACACGTCTTCGCACTCCAGCGAATAGATCAGACTGTCCGTATCCGTGTAGGCAATTCGACAACGGTCGCGATAAAGCGGCACCATGTAGTCGTAGTGAAACTCGTACAGACGCGTCTTGGATATCTCGAGAATAGACATACCCACGTAGATCGGCTTGTTGAATTTTACTTCGAGCCTTCGCAGCTCAATCGCCACCAGATTCTCCGAAAAGACGCTCCTGCTGTGAAAGTTCGGCTTAGCGATCAACGCCTCCGCCTCGTATCTCCCGTCCCATCGCGTCACGAGACGCACGTCCACGTGATCGCGCACGTTCTCCATAGTCTTGCCGAAGACGGCGTTGTTCATCAGTTTGTACAAATTCCGTTCGAAATCGTTGCTCGCGCGCGTCCTAAGCGCGGTGTTCAGCTCGATGTAGGCGCGAAGCCACGGCGACTGGTCGAATCGTAGAACGCGACGAACGCGCGTCAAACGCATACCTAGTCGCAGACATTGCTGCAGGTTTCGATAGTGCGTCACGTAACGCGATTTTTCGTAGAGAGTGGCGAGCAATTTTTCCTGTCGCTTGCCAGGCGGTTTGTCGCGCGTCGGGCACAACGGCAGATCCGCGTGGGCGTCGTGCAGGTCTCGCGGGTACTTGAGATCCACCTCCAAAATGTAACCGACGTCGCTGTCCGTCGGCACGGTCGTCGCGTCGAAATTCTCAGGATCGTCGAGCCACTGGAAATTCGCGTAAGGCAACGATTCGCTCATAGCCCAGCCGTACAGATTGTTCACGTCGTAATACATGAGATACGTAGTGGGCTGGGACGAGTCGTGCGTCGGTACGTGTCTGTTGTTGGCTCGCGCGTACCTGAGCGAACATTGACTGAGGCCGCCGCGTATTCCGCGTTCCACGAACAGCACCATGTCGATGTCGGTGAGCAGCTCGAAACGCACGCCGGTGTACCTCAGCATGGCGTCCCACGTGTACCCCGGCAACGTGTAGTAATGCGCAGGATCGAGCCCGTAACTCGCCGAACACGCGTCCCGAAAATTTTCAAATATATCCGCCAGAAGAAGCACGTCGGTCTTGAGATACAGATCGCTGTACTCGCCGAGATCTCGCACGCGAAAACGTCGCCAAACCCTCGTCGCGTGCTCGTAGTCGCTCTCGCTCGCGGTCTCGTCGGTCAGGGAGCTGTAAAAGGCCTCGCGCGGCGGAAGCTCGGTATCCCGCAGTTTATCCGCGCCGTCGACGTACTCGTACGGAAACACACCCTTGCGAGTGAGCAGATCAAAATCCTCCGCGCTCAAATCCGCGTACTCCGAACGCGTGATTCTCAGCTTGTCCCTGTTCAGATAGGACGCCAGGGTTTCGATACTCGCCGCTAAAAATTTATACGAGTCCACGAATCGAAGCTTCACGTACAAATCCCGTTTTCCGTCCGTCTGCGTCTCCTTAACGGTCTTCGAGAAAGATATGTAGCTTTCCTTTGTGAGTGGCAGCAGATCGACCCCGCCCTCGAAATCGTTCGCGATTTTCTCGACGACGAAGTGCGCGTCGTAACCCGATAAATTGTGAAAGAACACGGGAATCACGTAAACGTTTCTATAATTCAGATTGCAACGAGAATGCGCCGGACCTCTGTAACGTCCGGTTAGGTGACAGTGATCCCGCACGCGATTGTTCTCCGGTCGAAACGGTTTCTCGCACACGTGACAATGAGTCGCGAGCAGAAATTCGCTTTTCTCGTCCTCCGTGAGTTCCACCATCGCTACATTGGTGGAAAATTTATTCTTAACGTGACGCGCGAGAACGCGAAGCTCGTTCACGAACCACGAAACGCAATCCTCGCCGCGACGATATCTGTACGCGGACGCGGTATCGTCGTAGGTGCAGCACAGATAGTAGCCTACGCTGAACGGTACGTGACGCTGATAAGCGTATCTTTCCGTTCTCGAGCCCCCCTCGACGTTCTCCCTCTCCCGTCGCTCGAGAAGACACTCCAGATCCGCGTACACCACGAAGGGAAGTCGCTCCTTTCTGTCGTAATTGTCGAAAGACAGCCACTTGTCCCTCTCGTTCGGGAGAACGACGGCGCAGTCGTTTATTCGGCCGCAGTCGACGCTGTGGGCGGCCAACTTGTCGCGCGTATAGAAATAGTGTAGACATCTGCGAAAAAAATAACGTGCGAGCGATTACTGTGCGTATGTAAAAAAAAAAAAAATAACGCCTCGTCTTTTTCCTTATTCCCTCGTGTTTTTTTTTTCATTTCATTTCTTTTACCTACCGATCGCAAACGTGCTTCGCGCACCGTTTCGCGGTCAATTGCGAATTCACCAATCGCGACAGATTCTTTATCCAGGCGAAATGGCCCCTGTTGACGCCGCGCAGCGTATCGGGCAGATACAGCAGATTTACGTGCCTGTCCCGCTTATCGTCGGTCAACCGCAGAGGCACGATCGCGTTGTGGTCGGCGCCCCGGCCAAATTTAGCTTTCTTTTCAATTTCTTCCCGAGTTGCAAACACGTTGATCGATACGTCGTTCTGACGTTCGAATTTTCCGATCTTTTTCAGATCTATGGGAAAATCGATCCCGTCGAGATTCAGCACCGTCGCGTAATCGGGATACGAGCCGAGTCGTTCCGCGTTGCGCTTGGCGGGGTACAGAGCCGCGACCACCGCGCGCGCGAAACACGTGTCGTTCTCCGACGGCACGTTGACCACCGCCCTTTTAACTCTTATACTCAGCGGTATTTTCATCCAACATCCCACGCGCATGGGATTACACTTGTTCACGTTCACGATTAGGTTCAATATTCGCGACAACGCCCATCCGCTGTCGCGTTCCTGAAATTCTTCCAACCGCGTTAGAATCGCGTCGCGCACGTGCCTATCGTACCACTCGCTCAGATCGGACCATGGGAGAAGCTGTTCGTTCCGCGTAGCGATACTCTTGACGTCGGTCTTAACGTCCGCTACGAATTCACCGTTAAATATAACGTTGACCTTTAGACACCCGTGCTCGGTCATATTATCCCGCACTTTTTCGAGCACGGTGCCCTTCGCGTCGTCGAGAAATCGCGCGGGCTCGATGTACGTCGAGTTCGTCACGGCGCCGGTCAGCACGCGACGTTGGAACGCCGCGTCGATCTCGATCCACGAGAAACCTCTGTCGCTGCTGCTGCCGCCGCTACCACCTTCCCCTCCGTCCAAGCCGGCACCTACGGCGCGTTCGAATCGTCGACGCAGATCCTCCCTCGAACCTTCCAATCGCGCTATCAGAGCCACCAGAGCGCTCACGGCTCCCGTGTTTCCTCGCTTCCCGGAGCGTTTGACTCGACACTGCTCCCGCAGGAGTCGGAGACACTCGTCGCATCGCCGTCTCCACGCGCGGTAACCGTCCGCGTCGCGGACGTCCGCGGCGAGCAACTCATCGCACTCTTTCCGCATCGCGTCCAGAAAGGTTCACCCTCGGGAACGTTGAATTTCACTCGGTCGAAAAGACGACGAGACCAGTCGGTTTGAACCCGATATATCCTGCTCTGTCCTCCGTACACCGACTCGTGATAGACATAATACTTGAGCGGCAGGCGACGCATATAATCGTTCGCCCTGGCGGAGTTCGCCAACGTCGTCTCTATCCACTTTCGCTCGCGATGGATTCGCGCTCCGATTTCCCTACGCAGATGATGGGTAGCCAGATTCCATCGCGGATCCTCCTTCGCCACCGACGCGCGCGCACTCGACAACGGTGTTTCGACTCTCGCCCATTCGTCGCCCGAATCGGACGAAAACTTAGGCATGGGCTCGCGACAGCGCAATTCGTTGTCCGATTCCTCGGACGACGGATAACGGCAATCGTTCATTCGCGAGTACCCCAGCCGAGAATGCTAGCGTCTTTTCAACGTTTATAGATGTCGATAGATATCGAATCAGTCTCTCTCTATAAGATATCAATTGGACGTCTAAATACGTTGGCGTTCCGGCTGAGACGTATCGTCGACGCTACATTCGCACCGCTGACATCTATATATCAAAGTAAAAAGATCTCCATCTTGAATCCTCCCATATTAATGTTTCGGTGCAATCATAAATATCCCACAAACCTATTTTACAATTCCCTCCACACTGTGAACAGAACTCGTGCGTCAATACTTCGTCGTAAACGTTACGGACGCTGCCGCGAACGATACACCAACATGTTTTAACGTATGAGTCCAAAGTCCTCCAAATGTGTTCGGTTCTACCAATATGCAATTTGAAATTCTTGGGCCTCCACCTGCGTTCGTTTTTACTGATATGCGATCTAAAATGCTTGGGACACCACGTGTCAGCGCCAGCGAGTACGTTTCGAAATCCGATTTCTCTGCCGCGAAGCAAACGCACCATCGACGAGCAATAACGTCCGTCCGTTCCCATACCGTATTTTTTTTACAAAATATATTAACTCTCGACCGCGTTCTAGAATCCTCGTAGAAAAAAAACCGTTTGCCGCGCCGTTCGCGCGCCCGTTCAATTTATACTTCCTCGTTCGTCGTCTCGACGGAAGACGTACCCCTGCCGGACGCGATTTTCCCGGAATGATGACAACCGCTCGCCGACATCCTCCGATGAAAAATATAAAAAAAAAAAAACAAAAAGGAGGAAACGACGAGAGCGACCGGGACGCCGAATTCGAACGCGCGTTACATAAATTATCGCGGATCGCGAATCACGGGTCGAACGCGAGGTGAATGAAAAATTGTCGCGAACGAAGAGAGACGAGTCGTCTCGATCGTTCTCTCTCGACGCGTCGCGTCGGGAACGGTCTGGAAAACCGCGAGACGAAAGGAGGAAAACCGCGAGACGAGACCAAATTAGGAAACGACGAGAGCGACCGGGACGCCGAATTCGAACGCGCGTTACATAAATTATCGCGAATCGCGAATCGCGGGTCGAACGCGAGGTGAATGAAAAAAAACATTGTCACGAACGAAGAGAGACGAGTCGTCTCGCTCGTTCTCTCTCTCTCTCTCTCGACGCGTCGCGTCGGGAACGGGCGGGAAAACCGCGAGACGAAAGGAGGAAAAACCGCGAGACGAGACCAAATTGGGAAACGACGAGAGCGACCGCGACGCCGAGTTCGAACGCGCGTCACGTAAATTATCGCGAATCGCGGGTCGAACGCGAGGTGAATGAAAAAAAAAAAAAAAAAACCATTGTCGCGCGTCGATCGAGCGACTAGACGATGAGTCATCTCCATCGATCCCGACGAGTCGGGAAAACCACGTGCTGTCCGTCGCCCGCCGCGGGATCGAAACGACCTTCGGGCCGAGAGTTGAAAAACAAAAACATGACAAAACGACGACGACGACGACGGGCGCGCGACACCCCGCCCCCCGCGAAACGAACCGTCGTTCTCCCCTCCCCCAATTCCCCGAAACGTCCCCGGACGAGCGACCTCAAACGAGTTCGAACGAGTTCGGACGCGCCCGAACGCGGGGGCGCGCGCGACCGACGACGACGAGAAGAAAAAGAAAAAAATAAAAAACGAACGAAAAATATCGACCCGCGATTCTCCCAAAACCGCCGTCGGTAACGGCGCGAGCGCCGCTCCGGGCGCCCTCTCGAAAAATGCCCAAATCCCCGCTACGAGCCCCCCCCCGTTGGCGGCCCTGCCCCGCGCCGAACCCCCGTTGGCGGCCCTGACGCACCCAACCTTCCGTCAAATGTTCCCCTCGCGTCGCGCACCCCCTCTCGCCCAGTTTTCACTTCCCCCCGCATAGCCCCCCCTCCGATGACCCTTTACACCGTCCCTCGACCCCCGCGCCCACCGCTTACGGCGCTCCCCCCGCGACAGCGAAGCTCCCCTCGACGCCGCGTAACCGCAAGCGAGATCCCTGAGTGTAGAAATGCCCGTTGCCCCCCTACTACTATAAAATCATGGAAAGAAGGGAGGGAAGGAGGGGGAGGGAGGGAGGGGAGGGAGGAAGGGGGGAGGGAGGAAGGCAGGGAGGGATAGATGGATGGATGGATGGATGGCTCTCAACAATATTAAACAGTAGATATAAACAACTTAAACAACTTAAAACTACCGCACTTATAGATTAACGCGCTACAAACTAACATACTTAAAGCACCCCGAAACAGCAAGTTGATACTTTTAAAATCAGTGTTTAATGATCGGCCTGACTGGCAATATATTAAAAATTATAACGACGTTTCGACCTCTATTTTGGGTCCTTATCAAGTTTATGCTGAAAAATATAAATTGCCGGTAATACATATAAAAAAGGGAACAATGCAAATTACGTATTCTACTTACATGGATCAATGTGCGTCAAACAATATAAAATTAATCATCGTTACGTTTTAACAAGGCGGAGTGTATTTTTAAAAAATATAGAGAAAAACAAGACCGTTTTGATATATAATTATTTCGAAAAAAAGCCATATACGATCTACTGAACTGAATTTTGGTAGCCTAATATTTCTGTGTATTTCCAAGTACACAAATTTTTGACCTACTAAACTGTTCGCCAATTTTTTGTTGCACTTAAAACACAGTTTTCATTGTAGTCTTAAAATCTTTTATCTCCCCTAATTAAATCAACCGGCTATAACCGGTTAATAATGAGTTGAAACGTTTTTCTAGACGAGACGTAAATAAACAATATAAAGAGAAACAAGAAATAAACTTAATAACGAATAAGATTTAAAATTAATAAAATATATTCATACAAAAACACACTAAAAACGAAATGAAAATGATTAAAAACGGGATATGACATGTAAATTTGATAATTTATATCTGCAAAGACTTACTTACGATTAAACACAGCCACACCAAAGGTAAAAAGACGACTAATTTCTATGGAATTTGATTTTTGTCTGATAAAAGTTACACATGTCATCGAAAAGTTTTACTAAAATGAAGCTTTCGTTTCTAAGATATTTAAAATTTTGTCATGCTATTTTTATTATAAAATTTTTATATGAAATATTTCGTGAAGTCTTCGTTTTTCGAGGATTTTACCTTGATATTTTTCTACATAGAATAAAAAGAATCGATTTTGTTGAAAAAAGAGCAAAAATTATTTTTAAAAACTTGATTGCATTTCGTACATGCATTCAATTTTGCAAAATTATACATTTCAAAAATAATATTATTATTTGCTTCATTTTGCAAAATTGTAAATTTCAAAAATAATATTATTATTTGCTTCATTTCGTTATTTTGTATGTATAAAAGTATGAAGGTACAGTTATCGAAAAGTGAATATTCTACGAGACATTACATTTTTTATAAAAAATATGACAAAATTTAAGATATCTCAGGACATTCTAATAAAAGAGTTTTATTATAGTATTTCGAAAATGTCTCGACAAGATATACAACTTTTATGTGAAGAAAAAAAATCAAGTTTCATAAAAAATTAGTTTCTTTTTTTTTTTAGAATGACATCTACGACACAACTCACATCGGAATCCTGTGTCCCCCTTCAAAGCAAACAACTTTTGTCTGAAACATATTTCTCTGCAAATAAGTTGTGAGGATAAAAATTTGTTACGCTTTATTTTGTCCATTTTGTACGTACTGTTTATATATTTATAATAATCAAGTGACAAATACATGCACAGCACATTTTTTTTCAAATGTAACAAAAAGGATCTAAATTATGTGATTTTGATCATTGATACTATAGAATGGGCCCCTCCAACGCCCATTCCCGTGAGAACGCACCCAATATATTTTCTTCCGTTTCTCCGATTGTAATGTACAAAAAGTACATTTGTAATAATCAATGCCGTCACAACAGATCTGATTTTTATTATATTATAGATGGATTACAGAATAGGCTCCTCCAACGCCTATTCCCGTGAGAACGCACCCAATATACTGTCACGACTTTTTGCACTCCCGGACCGCTCCGGGACGTGTGCCGGATCAAAAGGATTTAGGAGAGCGGGATGGTGGGCCTCTCCAGTAATTTCCTTGCACCTCCGATACTCCACGAAATGTTCCGAATGTTGGGCGCCAGACGCTTACATTCGCGTCCACGAAATCGCGAAAACCTAAACGAGACGCAAAACGAAGTGTGGAGGTGCGTGGAATCGGCTAGCTTGACCTAATCACGGGCGGGGTTAATGAAGGACAGCGCTATTTTTGGCGGGGTGACACGTTAATTTCATACTCAGTCAGATAACAAAGAAAATAACATTTATTGAGTACTGGTTGTCGAAAAAATAATAACATTTATCCATCCGGCTTCGATCAAACACAAGATAACTTCGATAAATAAATCAGGAATAGCCGGTGGCGGGGTGTCGGGATTCATCTAACAGAAATAATATTAATGCGGACGCGAGACACCCATGGAATATTAATTGAGTCTCTAATAAGCACGCTGAAGGCGCTATTCTTAAACAATTAATCATTCAAGTCGAAAGTGATAATACGCAAGAATACTATTCTTAATATCGCTAATAACCACGAAACGCCAGGAAGACCTACGCAAGTAACATCTAAACGCACGAAACATGTGAACGCCGGTAATTTCTTAACAAGAGTACAAGTCTAACATAATTAATCAATCGGCGGGAACGACATTCGACCGCGATTAACAATGCCATCGATATCCCAACGTAATTCGAGGTTGTCGCGAGCAGGGACGCCATAGGGCGTACGCAAGTAATACCGGACGCAACGTTTCTCAACGCGAGAGCACAATTATCAACCCGTAATAACGAGATCCGAACACGAAGCGATACGCTAAAACCGACGCTCGAACACAAGAATTTCCCGACGCGAAGAAACGGTAACGCAATTGACGAAATACCGGCCCGTATGCGGCCGTGCACCAAGGTCGCGAGGACAACGCAATATACTCGCGATATCGAATTCATTAACGCTTATCGCGATCTCCAGGGATTCGCCATAACGCTTGTACCACGGTTCCGCGGCCACGATACCATCCCGAGGCCCTTCGCTCTCGTTATCGATCGCGAAATTACACTCGATCTTAACATGCGTTATCCCGAGCGAGAGCGTACACCGGAGGGCGGTGTCGTGGCTTTACATATCGCGATTTACGGGCAACCTCACCGGTGATACACCTCCTCCTGGGCTCCTCGCCGTCATCTTCCACCAACGATCCTCGATCCGCCAGACGAATATCGAAATACCCGACTAGGGGTGGCTATCGCGTATCTTAACGAAACGTATCTCGCCGACGGACGACCAGAGAGTGAAAACGACCCGCTCGATTGCGGAATCGATACGGTACCCCTTCCTGAGGGGCGCGCGAGCCAATCGGGCGCGAGCTTGCAAGCCCGCGGTGTCCCGGCGCAGTGCTGTCGATACGAGATCCTTCGGGGGCGGGCAACGGTCCCTCGGCGGCGTGCGACTCCTCAAATTTTTGTCCTTAGCGGCGGACGGAACTTTGCTCGTGCCGGTGTGCCTCCGGTTTGACCCTAGGGCGGTGGCCAGCCACCCCGTGGGTCGGTTTTTGTGGAGATCATTTGCTGAAGCCGGGTGTTTACCCAAGCTCTTGGGGCCCCGCTATCGGCGGCCTCGTCCGTCGCTGCCGCATGTGCCGCCTGCCTGCCGCGTTGCTCTCGCCAGCCCGCGATCTCTGCTGCTTCCGCGTTCGCCACCCCTCCTTGGTTATCGATCGTCCTTGATTTCCTTCGCCAAGTACTCCCTCGAAGATTTGCCGTGGTGTGGGTGAGGTGCCGCGCGTATTACATTGCATAAAAACAAAAGAAAGTAATCAGAATGCGGAAACGCGATTAA